ACTTAAATTCATGAAAAACACGTTCTTTTTATAACATATAGGATTTTTTTTGCCGGAATCTCTTTCAAATTGACATTGTCATGCAATTTTGATATCCACTATTTTTTTTTTAAAAACCCGTCATAAGGTCTTTAACCTTCTAACAGAAAGAAGTGTAAAACGTATTTGTCCCATAGGGGGTCATTCTAAATTTAGTGTTGTGCAAATTCAAAAGGAGAAATAATAGCGCTTATAATGCACACATCAAACAGATCTACTCTTTAAGATAATAGATCATATAATAATAAGATAATAATAGAATAGAATGAAATAGTCTGGAGCTATAATGTCATTGGATTCAAGGAGCTATAGGTTAAAGTGTCGCTAAGAAGAGGTGTCAGAATAAACAATAGTAATAATAGTTAGACTAGTGAATAATCAAAATAGTTCTATTGTGAAAATAAGTATCAATAAGGTCAAATTGTTCTAATAACTAAAGTAAAAAGGAATCAAATGGAGTCAGATTTTAGATGCTTCTGTTTTCCACATCTGTAGGATCTAGTGCAGATGTGTTTATAGAGAGTAGTATTAAAATGCAGACATAGAACAACAGGCTTTAACAATTTTTTAAATCTAAAAATAGCTCAAATATAACACTGCTCTTGATGCAGCCTCTGAGCTGCTCCATTGGAGAACAGGTTAAATGTTATTGTTTATTACAAACAGCTGATGTATTTACACATTAAGTTTTGGACAACACTTTAAACAGTTATAAGCAGCGGACAGAAGCCATGAATGTGCTTTTGTTTATTAAATAATTAATTTAATAGCCATATAATCGTAGATAACGTTTTTTAATTAGTTCTCTTCTTCCCGCTCCCTTTCAGGCAACTTGATTTAGATTTATGTCTTTTATATTTGAAAACTACTGTGTTGTTTTTGGAATTGTCTGAAATACAATACATAAAATAGTGATTTGCAGAACGAGAACCAGCCAATGAAAAATCATCTATTGCCGATGCTATTGCTACAATTAGAACCAACAGAGATTCAAAAACATTTAAAAGCATTTTGATGTATTTGGGTATAGCACAAAAGTAGATATTTAGATATTTTTGAGAATTTTAAAAGCTGTCGATTTGTCAGTGTAACCCATGGTTATTTTATGTTTTTATAATCAGAGTATTTTATTTTATTTTTTCTTCAAAGTTTACATTTTTTGGTTGAGTATTGTTTTTTCCTATGTTCTATGAATGCAGCGTAGCGCTACTCGCGGCAACTCGCTGCTCAGAGCTAGTTAGCTTTCTTTTCCGACATCTGTCTGCACGGAGCGAGGTAAATTTCTCTGCATATTCTCCTGGTGTCGAATGAGTAAAATGGCTCTTTGAAAACATGGTTTTGAGCTGTACATTTGTGTTTTAGATGCACCACAGTGTTGTGGAATCCTGTAACCTGTTGAGCAGTGGATTTTGAAATGAATATATGTTGAAAATCCTGGTGAGTGTTGTACATATTGCGATTGTGAAATGTGATTTACGTACGGTAAAGCTATAAAACCAGTCAGGATAAGTTGATTTTTGAACAATGTGGTTGTGATAAGCTGCTAGTGACTCATTAGCCGTGGTTGAGTTGTAAAAGAAAAAGTTAACGCACCCACATGTGCTTCCTAAGCTAATATATTGCATGTGAAATCTAAGCTAACCTCCACGTGCGTGGTGTCATGATTTCATACTATGCAAATTCGTTTTTCAAGCCTTTGATTAACACGGATGTTTTTGTTTTTTGATGTATAGTTGCTTATAGCCAATAAGAATTGTTTTAGATATGAAAAGGATTTACTGAAATGGAAATGTGATTATATTTTTTTGTACAATGTGAATATAAATGTTTAAATTGGGTTTTTTTCCCATTTATATTTTACATGTTTAGTGATTTGACTGCACATTTTGTGTGCAGGCTGGTTTTTTTTATGATAGAATCTGCTAAGGTGCCATCTAAGGACTGGATGCTACATGAGATGTCCACGCAGGAAGCTCCATATCCGAAGACCACTTGGTTCCTAAAAGGGTGGTAGGACGGAAGATTCTCCACAGTTCTGAGGATAATTTGTTTTGTTTTTCTGAGATCTCAGATATATTTTGTTTTGTTGCTACTTTTTTTTGGGTCAGGCCTGACACCATACAAAAAAACTGACAATTGACTTTTCAAATACCAACCAACTTGTGAGTATATCGTGCACTCAGCTGAGACGGACAGTGATTCTGTGCATTTTGGACACTTGAAGGGACAGTATTGAAACATTTTGGGAGGTGAACAGAACAAATTTAAAGAGATTCACACATGTTTTTTTTGTTCATGCCCATGTTTATTTTTGAGGAGATTTACTTGTTCATCATTTGAATAGAACATTTCATTCTTATGTCGTTGTCTGTGTGTCAATTGCGGTTGGAGGGTTTTTTACGCTCATGATTGAGTCATTACTGCCCCGAACAGGAGACAATAAGCGGTGTATAAGAGCTCAAGTCAGCCTTAGACACTATGTATAATTTAGCAATGCTTTTTTAGGTGGTAATAAGCTGCTGATGTTACAGATTTTATGTGGCTTTTGAATTAAGTCTGAGTCCATTATCACTCCTCGATTTAGGACCTGATTTGAGGGTGTAGAGAGAGAGCTGGAGGTGACACTACGCTCTCTCTTTGTTTTCTACTGACCCTCTGCAGGTGGTGAGTCCACAGGAGGGACGGGCTTGCTTTGAGTGTGAGCATAGCCTTGATCTTTCAGTGGGGCTTTGGGCAAAGTGGGGTTAAGTGTCTTGCCCAAGGACACAACACAGCAAGTCATCTGTGGGAGTCGGTGGAGAGGTGCTGCGATGGAATTGAAACCACTTACACAAACCTTCTGGGCTTTAAAGGCCTATTGCTCTACCAACTGAGCTACTGTCGCCCCTCATTTGCGATCGGGAATTAATGAAATAAAGCTTTTCTCGAGTGGGTGATACATCAAGGCGCTCTGAAGAGCTCTTAGCTGTGGGCCATGATGAAAAGCTGACAATTTCCTCCTTATGTTTGCACTACATGCTCATAATCATTTTCATTTGCTTGCGAAGGTGGTATGCCGTGTGCCGAGCTGCTTATCTGACCCATATCGCTCGTCGGGCTTATTCCCAGCGCGGGGCTTCATTCATAATGTTCGAAATCACAATGATAGAACAGGACACTGGTATTGTCCAACACAGTCCTGTTAGATTAAGCAGCGAAGCTATTTCATATACATGCTTTTCTGGATCGAGAATATAGGACACAGACTGCAATAAAGAAATAATGAGAACTATTATTGGTGTCTTTAGTAACATCAAACATGTACTTCAAACACATTTTCATTTCAGCGTCCTGTAGACATGTTTTTTTTACACTTTGTTATCATCCTGATTTCTCTGGCCACTGCACCACAGATTTTTTCTTTTAGTCAGCCATTCCAAAGTCAGTAACACCTCCTTAAAAATCTGAAGGGGTCTGCGCGGCCCCAGAAAATAATTACAGAAGACATTGTTAAAAATAGGCTCTTCTGTTTTTTTATGTGGGAGAAATAGATCTGCTTAAACACGTAAAATGACACACCCCATTCTGTAATACAAAAATGATTATAAATTTGATTGTTAAATGTCAACTTTATGAGTACAAATGTTTAACTTTTACAAAGGCAAAATAATTATTAATTTACATACAATAATACCCCCTGCAGATACCCTCGCGCCCCTGACCCCTGACATGTTTAGATAATACATATTTATGACATATGAACATGTATTTGTAGAATCACTTTTAAATGTCATTTATAAAATACCATATAACACAGGTCCCCACCAGTAATATTTTCTAGAGGAGATAGTTGTTGAACTATTTTATTTTTGTAATAAAAATTTATATATTTGTCCATCAGGAACGTGCTTGCTTTGTAAAACAAAAAAAATCTTTCACTTTACATTTAAAAAATGAGTGATGTTCATTTAAAATTGGTATCTAATTTTTCAAACCACGAAAGAATTTTATTTTTTTTTATCCAAAGTCCCTACTTTTTCACTCTCAAAACAGTTTGGATCCTCACCTTTTTTCAATCATGTATTTTAATTATTAGAATTTATTTATATATTTGGCATTGTCAACGAAAGTGAAAAGAGAGGACCACACAAAACTCAGCCTAAAACAATTTTTCAGTTGGTACAGAACAAAATGACTATTATTGATGAAAAAGAAAATATTGTCAGGTTCCCCAGCTTTTAATTTGTGGACTGAGCCAACTACTGGATGTGTTCATGTTTCTATGCGCAGAAAGAGCAGAGTAGTATTGGTCTGTATCATTGATGTATATATTAACAGACTTAGTCACGCCTTTCTCGTGTTCTAAACTAATGGGCCAATTGGGCTTTATGGAGTGATTCAAAATGGCTGCGGGGGTGGAATTGTGAAAAAAACAACATTGTGATGCGTCAGGCTGCACTAGCCCCCATTCATTTAAAGAGTGACTTAAAAGTCCACAGCGACTAAACTGATGGTCCAGAACACTCACCTCAGCATTGACACACATGTGGAACGGAGCTTTGGGCCACGAGCCAACTTTTGGACCTCCTGTTAAAGATCATTTTCCAGTGGTAAGAAGATGCTATTTGTTAGCATTGGCTAATTCTTATTCTGGGTCCACCCCCACAGGCCCGGGGTGGTATTGCAGTATGTCAGCGCACGTCTTTGAGTCAGGACCCGCCAAACTGCTCTGTTTAAAATTACAGAGTGCGACCTCATTTTATTGAAATTCCAAATCATATGTTCACATAAAACACTGTATACAGCATGGCACTAACAGGTGTGTTACGACACAAACAACTGCAGTGGACGGTTACCAAAAAACAACGCCAGAGTCAGCCACAACATTCAGTGAGTCACCTGCTCGCTCCTGCCTCATTTAATTATAGAGTTGGCCCACAAAAGTACATTTCCTTCACCAAAAAACTTCTCCTCCTTGTACCTTACAAACTCCAGGCCGCGGGATAATCTGGCAGATCTATGTGCCTGTGGTTATCTGTGAGTGGCACGTGGAAGCGGGTACTTGACCCAGACAGGGCTTTGGAGGCAGGCGGGGGATTGATGTAGTCGGCTGGAGCCGGGACCGTCCTGGGGATCAACTTCCTGGGTTGGATTCCAGGCGAAAGTGAGGCACGTCTAACACTGCACTTTTACTCTGTTTGAGGCTATGCACTGAGCCAAAATGTATTCCACATTTGTTACTTAAAAGCGCGTGGATTTATGCCTATGTGAATAGAGGAAAGCATTGTGGTTTTTTTGGTGCACCCCTGCACGCTCATGCTTGTCAGTTTCTGTCAAAAAGAATCATTGATATGTTAATACAAGGTGAATTGTGGAGAAATTCTCCTAAAGAAGATTGGGTTTTGTTTGCTGCATTTTTCTTCAAGGGTCGTAAACAAGCGCCTCTGAGGTGAAGAGCAACATAAACTGCAGATTTTTCTCTTTTTAGTTTGGCTTTTTAAAAATCCTTCTAAACTGCTGCACCCAAAAAATGCAGCTAATGATAGCATAAAAAAACCGTTATGACCAGAAACAAAGTCAGTCAGAATACACATTACCGTAAATGCCGGACTAACAACCAATACTTTTTCAAAGTATTTTGACTTTGATGTCTATTAGCAATTTAGGCCATGCATTGTATTCTTGTTAATGCGTATCTCAATTCCTGCTTCCTGGTGTATTCATGGAATTTATGATTTGGACAAAATTATGCAGATTGTCGGTAAAGTGACAGTCGTGGTAGAGACTTTCTGAATAGTTTAAGTTTTCCAGTCATTGTGATAACAGTTCCTGCAGTATACATTCACGGTCACACTGGGACATTCTCACATCTTCCAGCTGATCTAGGAAAGCTGCTCATACAATTCTTGATGTATCCGGGAGTTTTCCCATTTGGCACGAGGGATGATTGATGCTGAACCACTGAGGTTGGTATCGGCGAAAGCATTGGTCAGATTAGGGGCATTATCCTGGACGGGCAGCCTCATGTGAACTCTGTTCAGCAGCATTATGTACAACTTAACAAGGAAACACAGTCTATTACTGGCTCTAAATCATTTTATATGAGTAGTGTATGTCCGAGAAAGCTGTTTATTATTTTTTATCCTGTAATGTTCCTTTTTATTTGTCGTCATTACAAGCAGAATCTGTGTAGCCCTGATATCCCACTGCAACTTTCCCTCGCATGGTGGGGGTAAATATTCTTAAAAAGGTCACATTTGTTATTGGTTAAATTGTTTTTTTCATTTGGAGTAACTGTAAAAACGTACCTTTAAGTCATATAAAAAATTACAATAATCGCCTGATAGTTAAAGCTGCATTACCTCACTTTATTTTTGTATTCATTACAAAAATTCAATCCATATCCATGCAGTGCATTGGGACATACGTCCTTTGGAAGAAAAAGTAGCGCCGATTTGTGCTGGCGTGACATTTTATTTTAGATCGAGTTTTCGTGCAACAAGGAAGAGAATGTGTTTCGGGACCAGATTGTGACCAATCACAGCAGACCACTGGCCCCCACTTTCTTGAGAAAAGCCACAGGTCTCTCATTACCAAAGACAGCTGAGGTAAACAAGCGGCGGAGGCTAACCTGAAGCTTCCTGTGTCTTAGTTACCGGTTTCTGCTTACACAGAGAAACATCCATCCAATAGAAAGTCTCGTTCCTCCCCGGTTCTATCATTACCTGTATATGGTCACGCCATCCACGTTCACAGTGTGTATGGGGTAGTGGGGGGTGATAGCTTCGTTGGTGCGGGGAGGGGAGGAGAAAGAGCGAAGCCAACGCTTACTTTTGAAACCACTGCTTCGAAATCAGAAAGTCAGTTAGTGCAGCTTTAAGTATGGGGATATATCACATTGTTTGGTATCGTCACATAAGTATTGTGCCAACTATCGTGTTGTTGCCAGATACTCACCCCTTATGAGAAATCAAACAACATTTACATTTCATCAGAAGTGAAAAAGAACATATTATTGTCATATAAATTGTAAACGAGGCTTGAAGCTGCACTAACTGACTTTGGGATTTTGAAGCCGCAGACTCGCTGGCCTCTCTCTTTCTCCTCCCCTCCCCGCACCCACGAAGCTATCGCCCCCCACACACACCCACTGTTGTTGACGGAGCTAGCGTCTCCCAATATGGATAAATACATGGACATGGATTTGCACGTGGATGGTGTGACCATAGAACGATAGAACCGGGAGCGCGGAGGAACGGGACTTTCTTTTGGATGGCTGTTTCGCTGTGTAAGCAGTAACCGGTGACGAAGACGAAGTTTCAGGTTAGCTCCTCGTCTTGTTGTGCTAACTCAGCCGTCTATGCTAACGGACTTGTAGATTTCTCATGAAAGTGGGGGCTAGTGGTCCGCTGTGATTGGTCACAATCTGCAACCCGAAACACATCGATCTAAAATATAATGTCGCGCCAGCACAAATCTGCGCTACTTTTTCTTCAAAAGGACGTATGTCCCAATGCACTGCATGGATATGGATAGCTTTTTCGTAATGAATACAAAAATAAAGTCAGTTAGTGCAGCCTTAACTAACAACTTCAGATGCTCCTCCGACAGAAGTCATATTAAAAATTCATGACTTTTCCAGCCGCGAATACAGTCCGACATGGAGAAGAGTGGATTCCCATCATGCAAAGTGGCAGCTGTCATTTAGAGGAGAGTCTGTTGGAACTAACGCTATGAAAACTACTCGTGTGACAGTTCTCTCAACCTCGCAAGACCCGTGTGGACTTTTACTACAATGTCTATAGTTTCACGAGAAAATTCCTCATGGGAGAATTTTGGGTTGTAGATGTTTAGAATTTTAGCGGACCTGTGTTGCACAAACTGGCATGTGCCTTCAGTCCCGCTGGAAAAATATCTTTATGATTGAGTGCGGCGTGCTGGGTAATGAGAATGGTGAGGAGGTGGAGGAGGAAGAGGAGGAGGAAGAGTCGACCTGGCAGCAGCTGTCATAGATACTGGTGAGAAAGCAAGCATCAAAACACATCCAGGAAAGGCAAGGGGGATGTTTGCAACAAAACTGGAATATTCAGTGGGGAAGTCAGGCTCCACCTACAGACTCTGGAGAGCAGAGAGGAGGACTTACAACTTTTACTCAAACTAAAGTACAGGCACTTGGATATCGTGAGGACTGTAATTATTAAGTCGATCTATAAAAACAAAAACATTCCTTTGCTTTCTGCTTATTATGTTTGATTCAAATAACTGAGCCACTCGGCCGACAGTGGCTCAGTTGGTAGAGCCCTGGCCTTTGATGTCTGCTGTCGTTGTGTCCCTGGGCAAGACACTTAACCCCACTTTGCCTGAAGCCTCCACTGAAAGATCAAGACTGCTCTCACTGACAGAGCAGCCTCCTGTGGACTCACCTCCTGCAGCAGGATCAGTGAGGGGCTGGGGCTCTGTGAACCGGGTGCAGCTCTGACTGCTGCCCCCCACCCAGATATGGATTAAGGGGAAGAAAATGGATGTATGGATGGATGATTCATTCATTTTAAAAGGTTGCCTGTATACACTCTATTCAGTGTGACGACCTTATTGTGTCCAAGTAGGACACTTTTTAACACAGATTCTTGAATCTTTGTATTCCTGAGTCGTAACTTCTTCCCATTCTTTTTTGAGCTGACTTTTTTGTTAATAAAACAAAACATATTGTATATGTATTGTGCTTTTCTTTTCTATTCTGTTGTTGTTTTGTTGTTGTTCTTTGTTTTTGTCTGCCATGGCTCAATATAAAGTATTCATTCAATCTTGTATTTCTTTTTATTTATTGACCTTGATTAAACAGGAAAGTCCCACTGAGATTTCTGAATCTCTTTGCCAGGGGAGTCCTGGCCAGGGCCAGATTAACACTTTGTTGTACCCTGGGCAACAATATTCAAGGGCCCCATCATCATGACCCCAGGATCACCATAATATGGTCATATATAGGATATATTACTGTAATATACAGTAAAAATACTCAATACTTCAAATCCTAACTGTCATTAGGTGTATTTTCATTTACAAATATTTAAAGCTCATAGAACTACGAATGCACTACTATGTCCCCTATCAAAGACATTCACTCACATATGATGCTATGAAAACAAAACACATCAGCATCTGTATAATCTGGTAACATTGACCTACTACATTGAGAGGGAAGGAAGTATCCTCCATTTTCACAAAAAATGAATAGATAAGCAACCACTTTTAAACCATTGTTTATTTAACAACACTTATTCCCAATAGAAATGTATGGAATAGATAGAGCTATCACAGAAGACCACAGACAACAGATCAAGCAACATTTTGGTCCTCTGCTCATTGAACTTGTTTTAAAATATAACAACATGCTATAGCACAATTAACCAGTCAAACATTTTAGTGCTACATAAATACACTACACAATACAATTTCTCTGAAGAAGACGAGATAAAATAAATGGTATATAATCTGGCAAAAAACATTTTAATCCTAAATAATGAGGAAGTGCATGTTTGCTTTCATTTGGCATCTTATACTGGCTTTTTTCTGGACTTTGACTGTGCAAACTGATGTATGATCTCTTCGAAATCAAGGCCACTAACAAGTTCATGTTCAATGGCTAAGAGAGAAAGTGCAGAGAGCCGTGTCTGAGACATTGTGGTCCTCAGCTCATTTTTAACTCGTTTCAAAACAGAAAATGACCTCTCACCCTCACAGTTAGATACAGGTAAGGTTAAAAACAGTCTTAGTGCAACATAAACATTCGGAAATGTTGTCTTAAGTCCATGTCTGTCAAGAGCTTGCAGCTGCTGTACAGGTGAAGTTTCATACTGCACAAAGTGCTTGAACTGAATAAGTTCATCTGACAAGGAACTATCCAGATCTGTTGGATAAGTGGAGCTCAGTTTAGCATCTCTTACACGCACATCACAATCGTCACAGTCCCTCTCAAACAAAACCACAAAGAGGTCACACACATGTGAAAGAAAAAAAAAAACGATGTCCAGAATCACTGTAAAACCTGCTGCTCCTCCTGCTTGATGTTTAGACACAAGTCCTGTGTGTGTGCAGATGTGATCTAAAGCCAAGGGCCGCTAGAAAAATCATGTTTTACATGAGATTTTAATGGGAGACGCGTTGGTGCGCGCACAAAATTAGAAATCTGCTGCGCTCTAATTTAGGATGGATTTCTAATTTTGTGCGCGCACCAACGCGTCTCCCATTAAAATCTCATGTAAAACATGATTTTTCTAGCGGCCCTTGGCTTTAGATCACATCTGCACACACACAGGACTTGTGTCTAAACATCAGCAGGAGGAGCAGCAGGTTTTACAGTGATTCTGGACATCGTTTTTTTTTTCTTTTATAAAGTCTCGCGTCTGGCCAAACCAGCACAGAGACCATGAAGACAAACACATGCATGTGATTTGTGTTGCTCTACATCAGTCCTCTGGCCCGTACTGTCCTCTACACTGCTCCATAGACTACACAGGGAGAGCATCAGAAGACGCGGACCTGCGCGCACGGTCAGTGTAGATACTCCAAAAAAATGTTACGCGCAGAGAGCGCGCAGTAAACGCGTACGTGCTGTTTACGCCTACTGTGTAAATTCCCCGTAACAGTATTTTGCTCGTGCCCTTGCTGTCTGGGCCCTTTAGATGGGCCGCCCATGACGGCCCTCCGTGGGCCCTGGGCCCAGACAGCAAGGCCCTTTAGATGGGCCGCCCACGGAGGGCCCCTGGGCAATTGCCCAGTTGCCCGTATGGTTAATCCGGGCTTGGTCCTGGCCACAGAGAGGTGGCATCTGTTGCATCTTGTGCAACAGATGAGACATTGTGAAGACATTTGTGAATTGAGTTCAATTTCACAAACATGTACAAAAATGGTAAAGAGACAAACGGAGAACATGCAAACTCCACACAGAAAGTCCTGTCTGGAGGTAAAACCTGACCACTCAGCCACTGAGGCCTTATAAATGCATAAAATGTGTGTGAATATTTTGTGAAGTCCAGTGTGATGTAATAAAGAGGATTGCAGGGACAAATATCAGGTCAGATATCAAATTATTTTAACTTTGGACTCAGAGGGACCATAATATTTTGATAAAGTGCATATGCAGCACATTTTCTCGCAGATTTTTAGTTGGAAAAAATGATTGATCCTAAAGCAGAGGATGTGATCTCCATTAACCTCCACAGATTTCACTGTCACAGACTCAGGAAGACTCACACTTCAAACCTGCACTTTTGATCAACACAATTCCACATGGTGATATTGATAATTAAGGTCATGCCCTCAGTGTTTTAATCGAAATATAGAGTTTAGAACAATTGTTGGCATGAATCCTGATGGCCAATAAAGAGAAGTCTTTGTGCTCAGAGTATCAAGGACTTATGCCCAGAGACTGAATTCAAAGAAGAAGGATTGCAAACCACTCCAGCCAAATGTCTCCGCCGTACACGCAGTATTTTCCTGAATAGAAGATGTGCATTTCTCAGTTCCCAGCATCACTCTGCTTTCAATTCATGACCGAACAACACTCCTGTCCACTCAGTGATGAAAAATGGGCAAACTTTACAAATGAAACCAGAGCTCTACTTTACAAAACTGATATCCCCATTCCCCACATCCTTAGCCTGGTCTTACCACACCATCATACTAATTTCATTTTGTAATTGGGTCTGGATTTGAGCTCCGTTAACAGGAGGGAGGGGGTAACTCCTTTTGCAGATTGAAACAATTGGATCTGAGTTTACTGTGACATATTGTTAGTATTAGATAGCAAAGAGTTCCACCTGTTTATTTAATTTCATTTTTGACTAAGGATTTGTTTTTGTTTTTTTAAATGTAGTGAAGATCTAAAAACTGATTATGAAATTCCATGATTCCTGTGTAGATTGAAATTAGTACTAAAAAGTGCTCAACTGGATCCACCCAAATGGTGTCCCTTATTTTTCTGTTCTCAAGTTCTCAACCCTACTCTCTAACCACAGGGTCTTCAGTTAAATCTGGCTTTCAAAAGCATTGCGTCTCTTTAATATGGAATAATATTATATGCTAAAAATGTATTCAATACTGGATGAAATATTGGTGATTTTGTTTGTGGAGACTGGACACACCTGATATTTAAAAAAAAACATATAAGTTGTCGTACTCCGCTCCACAGATCTCCACCTCCACAAACGGACAGACGATACTGCGGCCGTTCTTTGGCAGATGGCGAGCTCCAAGCACCTGCAGAGAGCGCCGCGGTCAGTCTGATCTCACCGCGGTCAGTCTGATCTCATGCAGACGTGTGGACGCTCGACTGACCTGCAGCTGGAGGGTGATGGGCTCCACACGCACTGAGTTTTTGTCGAACGGGTCATAGGAGTCGTCTCTCATGATGTCGGGCTGAGGGACGAAGCCACAGCCTCCACTGAGCATGAACAGGGCCTGGTTCAGCTGCATGGGCTTATCTGCACACACAGAGTACTCACTTTTATTATGTATAAGAACGGTAGTTAGATTCATTCACTGAAAATAACATATTGTGCTTATATATATATATATAATGGCAAGCTTTTTTGGGTTGAATTTAGTTTATCATGCAAGATTATTTTACTAGTTTTAAGATAATAAAACTTATTCTTCCATCCATCCATCCATTTTCTTCCGCTTCATTCGTTGCCGGGTCGCGGGGGCAGCAGTCTAAGCAGAGACGCCCAGACTTCCCTATCCACACACATTTGCTCCAGCTCATCCGGGGGGATCCCAAGGCGTTCCCAGGCCAGCTGAGAGACATAGTCCCTCCAGCCTGTCCTGGGTCTTCCCCGGGGTCTCCTCCCGGTGGGACGTGCCCGGAACACCTCCCCAGGGAGGGTCATAATCTTATTAGAGAAAAAGTCTGAGCAGTGAGTTTTTAAGCTTTCCAGGCAAGTTTATGTGTTGTTTAGATAAAATATAGACAAACATATTCATTGTAAGAAATAAATAGTTTCCACTTGGATTTCGTTTTACTTGGATATTACTACTCAAACTTTCGCATCTATGCAGCGTCATATTTCCCAATCCAAACATTTGGCCAGTATTCTGACCTGGAGTTTGGAAGTTAAGAGCCACCAGTTGCGAGCCGCAGAGCCACATGGGCAGAGGGTCGTAGTTGGAGGAGTCCAGTCTTTGTCCTCGGGGGTAAACTCGGGACAGCTGCCGTCGGTTGTACTGGACAAAACGCTTTCCTCTTCCGCGCGTTGCAAACTTCTCAGCTTTGGTCTCCGGGAATGAGGACATGTCCCTGTAGCAAGCCCTTTCAGTTCCAATCTCTGTCAGAAGATTATATGATTATGATTTGGTTTTTAAATACGATCAAAAGTCACAGGATTTCATATTCGAGATCGTACTGTCTTCGTTGAACGGCACTGGTCTGCAATAAACCACCAGGTCTGAAAGCTCCACTGCAATCTTCTTTCTCCTCTCCATCTGTTTTTCCTCCTGCATCTGTACTCACACAGACAACAACCAGAAATGTTAGGTTAAAGCTGGGGTACCTGACTTTGTCGTTCCTCACTCTCAAAACGCTTGTTTTCACATGCATGTATTTTTTTGTTTACTGATAAGATGAAGACACAAGTTACTTTTTACTATTTCTGTTGGGACAAAGAGCATGGATTAACTATGAGATTTATTTATGTTCGAGTCCCCGGCTTTAACTCTCGCTTTCGGTTGCTAAGATCTATGGCCATGAAACGTCCATATTTCTGAAGGGCAGTGTTTCACGCATGTTTCAGTCAATGTTTTAAAACAGCTAAGAATGATGCACTTCCAAAAAGTTCAATAAATGAAGCTGTAATCTGCTATGAACCAGTTCTGAGCCAGTTCTGAGCCAGGACAGAACTGAGTTTGTTGGAGACAAAATGTGGAACATAAGTGCACTTTTTTAAAGTATTGCAGAAGTAGGCAGTAATCCGTTACAATTCAGAGGCAGTAATATTGTAGTGTAATATATTACTTTGAAATAACAGTAACAAGTAATACAGAACGTATTAAATTTTTGAAGTAACTTGAACATATCCTAACAGTGATACTAACTCGAGCGTCTGCGTTCTGAGCGGCCTCTCGGATGCGGCTGACCCAGCTGCTGAGCTCGTCCATGGTGTCGGCCGCCACGTCCAGCGTCTGCACCGGGAGAGAGGACAGCTGCTGCCAGTGGATGGTGAACACATACGGTCGCATGTTCTTCCCGTCTTTGTGCACCACTGGAAGGGCACAACAAAACACAAGACACAACAGAATAATTCATTGATCAATTAAATAATAAAAATAGCCACAAAACCAAATTTCAACTCAATCCGTCTTGTAGTTTTCACGCTATCATGGTATGGTCAAGTCTAACTAACCTATGTATCAATTTGTCAATCTATAACATACAAATTAATAACCTATTACAAAACAAAGTATTAGAATCACATGCAAAATAAGCATAATTCTCACCAACATGGCAAGTAGGCACATCTATAAAACCTTTGAGAAACGTTCCAAGAGGACTGTTTTCTGTTGACTAAAGAAAAAAATAAAATGTATCACAGAAGTCACATGTAAATGCAAAATATTAACAGGATCTCACTCACTGCATCATCCAACTCTCGGGTCGGAGAACTCGCCACTTCTTCCACATAGTTTGCTGGAAACCACAGCTGCTTTTTGCCCCCATAGTCTCCTCTCCACCTGGTCATACCACACAGGAGAAGTCTGTTGTTCAACATTTTCGTTATTCCAAGTGCAAGTGAAAGGCACTTCAGTGAAAAGATGCATTATAATATTGTCATTACTGAGATAAATCCTAAATTCTATCAGTGAAATTCAACAAAAACATTAAGTTAATGTCACACAAAATTGAAAAGTCAGGTTACATTTTTTGTTGAAGTGCACTTTTTATGCTAATGTATTGTGTTGTGAGGGGATTTCATTCATATAATATGTTTTGCTTCGTCCAATCAATGTGTTAGGACTATGTTTTAAGTCCTCTGAGATAACTGCTGTTGTGATTTAGGGCTATACAAGAATACATGGAATTGAATACATTGAATACACATGTATTCTATCTATATATATTACTATCATTATCATTATTATTTAAATATAAATGCATAACTAGATGCATATTGCGATTGTAAATATACAACACATGGTGAAACTTAGCCTATATGTTTATGTATTTGCATGCTTAAGTGTATACTGTAAGTGAGGAAGGAAACATGTACAGAGGGTCATGTAAAGATTGTAAATACTTATGATTATTTCTGCTCAAATGAATAAATCAATCAATCAAATTTAAAGCATTCCTATAGAGATTTCTGTATCTGGGAGCTACTCACCAACCCCCCTCCTGCTTGTCCACATTCAGGATTAAGGCCTGTTTGGGGAAGCACAGCTCGTCCTCTCGCTGCGCTCTGTAGTCATACTGTGCTTTTACTGTAAACTGGAACAAAATCATTCTCAGTAATCTCACATGACTTCAGTTCATGACTTTATTGCAAATCATACCCTAGTCATTAGCATTTTATTGGCTTCCACATAGAAATGAGGAGTTCTGACTTCGTACAGCGCGCCATAATCTAGTTCCTGAAACACAAAACGTTTAAAATACATTGAAACATGGGGTTTTGCCAAAAATAATAATAATGATAATAATAATCATGCATTGGTTTTATACAGCGCTTTTCTGGACACTCAAAGATGCTTCACATGTCATTATCCTTTCACTCCGTACTGTAGCCGCAGCTGCCCTGGGTCACACTGACAGAAGAGAGGCAACCAGTATGTGCCATCGAACCCTCCGACCACCATCAGCCATTCACACACACACCAGACTCATTCTAGGCATTGCACTCTGTGGGTGCAATGCCTAAGGACACCACTCCCATCACAGTACTACCAGGCCCAGCACTGCACAGCTTCATGCAAGAATGACCGGCCTGCTTACAGTGGTGCCCATGCGGTCCAGTGTGTCTTCATTGATGGGATAACGTAGCTTCATCTTCCTGTACAGAGGGTGTTTCTCGTAGTAGCTCACGAGATCCACGAGACTCTCAAACTCGGCTGAACTGCCCAACATAAAGAGGCGACCTTCCTGTTGGATCCGGCAATGCTTGATTTTACCTTCCGCTCTGAAAATGTAACAACAACAAAAACAAAACACTTGCAGGACTGACTTGATGAGTGACAGATAAAATCCAACACAGATGATAACTTTTACCTGAAGGAGATTGCAAAGGAATTGATTTCACTGCGTTTTCGCACCAAGAAGGCTCCGTCCCGGGGCACGCGCATCAGCATGTGTTCCGCCTGGATACGGGACAAGCTCGAGTGATACCACCTTCAAAATATTCACAATACAGTTTGTTTTGTAACAAAATGAACAGTGTGAGCTTAACTTCTCCAACTAAAAATTAAATCAGTGTTATTTGTCCCTCTCCCTAGAACCTACAAATCAGTTTAAAGTAATCCTGGATTCAGACTTAAAATAAACCTTTGACATAGAGGGTACTCTTTTCTTCCTTCTCCTCCATAAGAAGCGTACCTTACACTCCTGCTAAAACAAAGTGTCAAACTGTTGTGTCCTTAGGCAAGACACACCCACATTACCTAGTATGAATGAGGCTATTCAGTCTGCCTGAATCTGAATCTGATGTTTTTCTATATACATAAAACATATGACTGGTAAAGGTGCAGTAAAGGATTCAAGTTAACTTAGCATTGGCAACAGAGTCAAAAAACCCACTCCCCCTTCCCCCTGTCTTCCACCAAACCCAACCCCCAGCACATGTACGCTGTTTTTGTAATAACGCAGTGAACACAAGCTGAATGCATCCCATTGGTTTCCTTCTATCGGTCCGCTCCAAAATATTCATGATTTATTTTTTGAGGCTACAGGCATCTGGTCATGTCCATTTCTATTTGAAAACACATGATAATTTGACTACTTTTGGGGTTTTTCTTAATGCATATGTCTGAAAGGTAAATAATACAGTAGATAGTCACCATAGTTTGACAACATAGTGATAATAGATTTGCTTCCAAAGACCCTCACTCTCGGCTCTCGTGGGCGTTGGGCTGAGGCACAGGGTTTCCGAGCCTCATCTCAAACTCGTTGCAGCGCAGCGGCGTGTCCCTGTAGTGGCAGATGAGGCGGTACAGACTCTCGAACACCAGGTTGTCTGTGAGGTAGAAACGTGTGGAGCCAGACTCCTGACGAGAGTGGATCCTGCAGTGCTGCACACGGCCCAAGCGCCTGTCGCAGGGAAAACAGACACATTTAGTCTTTAGTGTGAGGGATGGAGGGAAACCCATGAAAGAAATACTCAACTGATTAAATATGCTTTGTGTAGTTTAAGTTGAGTGGGTAAGATGGTCAAATGTGTTTTTATTATTCACACTCATGTACACATAATGCATAACGGAGATAGGTCCTTGTCCCACTACCTCTGGCTCTGGTTATCTGTTAACTGTATTTCCTACGTTCGAACTGTTTGATTCTCTGATCTTTTGTTTGTGAATCAGCCATGTCTAGTCCTCTGCGATGACTGCTGTTGGTTATACAAAAATACATTGAATTTAATTAATTTAATGGACTATGGCAACCACTGCGCCTGACAGGTTGCCCAACACCAGCAAAATGAGTCAAAGTCTCCTATGACGTTACATTGCTGTTCTTTAATAACCACCAATTAGAAAATAACTAAATAATCGTAATCATTGCGCTTTCTGTTTTCCTACTGTACTTATGCGCTGTAACTCTGGGATGAACCTCTCTTTTATTTGATAAGAATGCTTTTTGGTTTCAAGAAGGATCTGTTTAACAAGATCTTGGGAATTTTTTCAAGCAAATATCATCACCATGGCAACACACAGGAAGAACTTCACCAGAACCGATAAATATATGAAATATGAAGATATTTGCCGCCTCTTGTACGTTTTTTGTCCCAGTGATCAGCCAGCACACACAAAATACTCACACATGCACTTTTAGCACAAATTTGTCATTGCTTCTTTGTAATTGTAACATTCTGCCTCGTCTTTGTTTAAAGCCATACAACATATTCAATAACTGTTAAGAATACAGCTGTCTACTGCAGATTTCACCTATATATGTAGCTGGTTATCTTTAGAACAAAACCCCTGCAATAAACAAAGGACCACTGTAGTTTGTATTTGCCAAATGGTCTTCCAATCTATTTGTACTATGTATGTATTTGTACAATGTATCTATATGTATTATGTATCTATTTGTACTGTGTGTGTATATGTACTATGGTTTGAGGAGGTGATAAATCTGCGAACTCAGTCCGATTGAAGTTACGGTGTGATTTAGTGGCACAGCTGTCGCTGACCAGAATGACAGAGTGAAGTCTCCCACGAAGGTCTCGCTCTCTCGGACCAGGAAGGTGCCGTCTTTGCCTCCTCCCTCACAGTAATCCTGCAGCAGCTTCTCAGCCACTTGTCGCCCGTCTCTGCCGCCGCCCAACTTCCCGTGGAACCAGCGCTCGGCACAGTGCTGGTCATTGTTGTTACACTCCTGCTGAGACAAAGAGACTTTGACTACTGAATTACAAAACATGAAAGGGTCACGTTTACATTTATTAAACAGCCAAGTAAAGATAGCTTTTCCTATGATAATGAAGAGTGATCCCAAAGTATTCAGAAGAAACACACACAAAAAGTTACCATGACTTGCTGCATTTACATCCTTAATCACAAGTTATACAATTAGTTTTCATATAACTACAACTATATAAATCTCAACTTAAACACTCAAACAAACATACATACTATTCTGGACTCCAATGGTATTTGTCAAATTTTTATGTGAGACAGGCCTAATCAAATTATGCCTGAGTCATGCGCCCATCTCAAAAATTCCACAGCGGCTACACTAGACTGGGGCAAAACAAAAACCTCCCCTCCAGCATTGACACACATCTAAACATAGCATTGGTCTAAGACACTTTTTGCCGTTTTCAAGAGAGAAACAAGCGGCAAGGTATCTTCTCTTTCCGGTTACACCCCCACCACATAGAGTGAGGTCGTGAACCATGGAAATTTTTTTTATTTATCGATTGCAAGGTTTTTTCTTATTAAATAATGTACCTTTAATAAATCTATTTAAAATACAAAACTAAAAGTAAAAATGGCTTGGCAATAGATACAAACCATTTTATTTTTTCTCCTCGCCTCGTCAGAATAACAGTGAATTCCCATTAATAATAAATGAAAATACCTCTTTTCCTTACATCCTCTTCCTCTTCCTCTGCTGTCTGGTTAAGTGGGACGACTCCCTCGGAGTAATAGATCTTGAGAGTGGTCAGGACAAAATAGTGTGGGGTCCACTCTCACAAAAACAAAGACGTTACAGCATTATCGAACAATAGGATAAACAAAACACTGCCAGACCTGACCTCACACAACATGCCTCGGAGCAATATCTAGAACTAAATTCATAATGTGCAATATGTCCACTGGTCACTTTACATTACGCATCAGTGCTTTAATACTTCAACAAAGTCAAAGTGCAATATAGAACCAAACGTGTTCCCTGACCCTCATGCAGCAATGAACAGATTGAAAACATACAGTACCCCATTTATGCATTGCACAAGAATATACAGCCATATTAAATACTTGCTCCATATTAAGCGAAAGATAGGGGGTTTTAGTACTTAAGTCTATCTTCTTAATCATGCATTGGGATCAGAGTTTCGGGACGTATGAAATCACACGGCAAGTAGCATTAGCATATAGCCTAGCATTAGCCATCTCCTTTGCCACTAACGGAGCCCAGGGGAGTAGAGCCACAACAACTTTGTAGCAATGACATTTGCTAACCAGTCCTCTTGCTCCAGTTTCAATATTCCGAACCAGAACAGATTACTTTACTATCGCATCACCGTCAAAACAACCAACCAGCAAATTTGGCGCAAACTCCTTGACGTCACAGACGCCCATCACTACAACACCCACCTCATCTGCTCGCTGAAGTTTCAACCGAGGAAAACTGCTAGCCACTAAGGATCAGACCCAGACGTACATGTAGGAAATGATCATGACCAGAGTTTACAGATGGAAAACCAGGCCCTAATAATATCAATAGTTAGAGATTATATGTATTTTATAATAATTTTTGTAAAGAGGTTATTGTTCATATATCTATTCCTACTAGATCTGTAAACTGGTGATAGCAACACAGAAAATTTCCCCCTGAGGACTAATATAACACTGTTAATCTTGTGAGCACAATCATGGCTCGATGGGTCCTCCAGGTACAGTAGCCGTTCATCAGGGATTGCTGATGTCCGCCTCGAGTAACTGTCGGAGTGACACATCTTCCGTACCAGTGCCTTCCACCAGCTACTAGTTCTGGAGATGGAGCACAGAAGATTTAATCATGAGACTCCCTCTCCTGATCTGGCAGACTCATTTTGAAAACTAAACACATGCTTATTCTTCCACTATGGTTTTTTTCGGCGGTGGGCAAACAATCA